GTGTATTGTGAAATATTCATTTTTGAATTATGTCAACCACATTACCCCTTCAGAAAATATAGAATGTACAACTTTATTTGGATTTCAAAACACTTTCAAAATAGCTGCTGACGTTGGTTTAAAAGAGAATCAGCTCAGGCATATAGGCAGTTCTTTTAAGTTTCGTACAAAACCGTTCGAACGCCGCTATGTTGACGGGACTCCCAATAACACGGAGACAATGTCACAATGTTACAACAGCATCATAAGGATTGATTGAACCCGCTTGCCATAAGAGTAGGCTAAATTTATCGGTGATCAGAATTGGTGACTAGTTTGATTGCATGTCAGCTATCTAGATGGCGTGAATCGGTGCTCATGATGTCAATCACTGGATTGTCTGGTCTAGACTGGATTATTTACAGCCATCGCCATATAGCTGGGACATTACAGAGTGTGACGTTAAATAACAAAGAAACAAACACAAATATATATAGATATACTTAATAAAAGTACACTACATGTATATCCAGTGAATAACAAACTACCCAACGCGGTCATTGATATATTTCAAGGATTGAGGGCTACACAGGGTTCAACGATTAACGACCGGCATGGATTTTGCTCACCTGATCTACGGTGTTTCAGTGGGACTCTCTGTTATGTCTCGGGGCTGCGGTGTATAACTGTCTCGGTTACACACTGCAACCATTTACTGACGCATTTTCATATACATGCTCTTTTCTGATGGTGAGAACGACGTGATCGCGGTGGACTTTAGACATTGCACAGCAAAAACTGAATACTCTTCCCAGGACGCACAAGCCATCAGTAAGTAAGCTTTTGTCTTCGAGGACGCTTGCCGTAAAGAACGAACCAAGTTGAGAGGAGATGCCACGAGCAACTTTGTATAGGAGCTAGGCCCTGACCTTGGTACTCGAAGTGAGACTCAGACATGTGACAACTCAACCTCCGACTGATCCTGCTCCCTCTTATCTTGGAACATCAACGAGTTATACAGCATGTTAACTAGCTCTCATTTCTATGAAGTTGAAAGAATATTTCGAAATAATTTATCTAAATGAAACATTGGGCGGAACATTTACTTGAATGGCATGCTTACCAATTATTAATGTTTTCAATCTGTGTGTTCAAAAACAAATCACTTTGGCAGCTATAGCTATAGAGGTATATATTATATATTTGATTATATTAACAAAGAGCTCAGTTCGTCCAGACTGGAATGATTCGTTGTGTTTTTGTTAGTAAACAACCATGTGTAAATAAGATTTGATACTTCTCTCTGCTTGTCCCCCATAGAAAACACAGAAACTCTGCCGCTGTTATAGATACTGGGGACAAGGTTGTCACTGCTGAGGGACGAATACTCTGACAGTGTAGTCATCTTATCTGGTGATGTGCACTTCAGGACTGGCAGGGAGTTGGATCATATTGGAGATGATTTTATCATTCACCTCCCATTACAGTGAGTGAATATGGTTTTACACCGCCTTTGAAATAATCCAGGAAAATCACGGTGGGGGACACCAGAAATGTTAACACGTTGTATCTATGTGGGGAATCGAACCCGGGTCTTTGGCGTGACGAGCAGACACTTTAACCACAGGGCTACCCCACCGCCCCATTAGAACATGTTATGTACCATGCAACATAATTTACGCCAACACCTCGTATGAACAAGGATAATGTCGTAAACAGTCATGGCAAGCGGCTGCCTGGAGTTATATAAATCATTTGACATACACATTGTGAATGGAAGGTGGTCGGATTCCCCCGAAGATTATCCATATATTGGTGCAAATGGCTTAAGTATGCCTGACTACTTTTGTTTATCTACTCCTGTATATTCCCTTACCCACTCTCGTCACGATATGGCTGGAATACTGCCGATGTGACGTTAAATATTAACTCACTCACTCACTCCTGTATATTTGTTACCGTTACAGATCTTACGATCTTATGTCATACTGATTCAGACCATCTTCCATTGGTGTTTTTAATACGCTTACAACATAAACATGTCTTGAAAGCAGGATGCAATGCTTCCGATTCACGTTTTCCCACGAGAATACAGGACAAGTAGAAACTAGACTCGAGCGATAATTATATCCATGAAATTGTGTCCGACCATGTGGAGGATTATTTGGATGAATTGAGGGAAATGTATATAATGATATTAACAAAACTGTAAATTGGTTCAACGAAAACATTACAGTTGTGTGGCAATCTATGATTGGGAAGGATCGCAACCCAAGAAGAACACAAACCGTGTGGTTTAACACTGAATGTCAAAATGCTAAAAATGCTAAATATGAACAATTGAACTGTTTCAGAAGTTACCCAACAGTGGGTAACTGTACTACATATTAACATGCAAGAAATCCATATTATGGGAAAGAAAACTATTTTTGTAAAGAAAATAATAATTGAAGATGTTTTTTTGAAATTTGTTGAAGTGTATTCATGAAAAAGTGCACCTAGGAATAACATATATTCAGAGGCATGAAATCTCTATTTTCTGAAATTATTGAACCCTCTCATGAGTAAAGATAGAGATACGATGTATGATAACGATATGCTATTACAGAACACAATAAAGAAACATGTGACACTTGTTTATGAGGTAATTTTTTATCTGATGTGTTACTCTTGCTGAAGTTTCATCGGCGATAGATATTTTAAAGTTGAATAAATCACAGTAAAATTAAGGGTTCCCGTTTGAATTCCTTTAACATATAAATGATAAAAATTACACATACCTTGCTCTGTTGTATACACAAGTATCACACAGAGGTCCGCATGGTCAGCATCCACATGCTGGGACTGGTACTATTATTGTACCGTTTCAACTTAAGACGTATTTCATTACTGAATACAATGAGAAAAATCATTACATTTCTTTTATATGAGTGATATGAAGACTTTATCGAACTTTTGATATTACTGGTGAATATCAAGGCGGTTTTAGGAAACACCACTCTACTTTCAATAATATATTTATATTACAGTCTATGGTTTTAAAACACAACACTCGGAAGAATGGTAAATGTTACTGCGCTGTCGAAGAATTAAATAAAGCACTTGAAACGGGTGATATAAATATGTTGTTATACATGGACAGATTTTCAAGGTGCTTCAATGTTTATACGATAACGTTCAGTTTGCTGTCGGTATTGAGCAAGGAAGAAAACTATCTGACGACTTTGATTGCTCTACCGGTGTCAGAGAAGGGTGTATACTTAATCCTGTCCTTTTCTCAATATACATCAAAGACCTGGGTGACTCCATGAGCGCCAGTATTGATAATGGAATGTTCCTGTCGGATGCAATGGATAACATTCTAGCACTCTTGTTTGCAAATGATCTAATATCATAAGCAGGTATACGGTCAACTGCAGAAACAGACTTTCTCCATGGTTGTTATATCAAATTGGGCATGGAAATACAATTTCTATAAAACTAACATTATTGTGTTTAGAAACGGTAGACACTTATAATTACAGTTTAATTCAAGTAGTTGGCTCTTATAAATACCTTGTGAGGATTACACGCAAACGTATCTGGAGCAAAGCTTTACAGTGCTTACTGAACAGGCCACATAAGATATTTTTCCCAAAAATGTCACATGTTCGAAAACATTAACACGTTTTTATGAAATACTATCAAATACTGATGACAACAGGTGTTCGCAAAAAGGTGAGCATATCCAGTCCCGCTGGTGGCATCACTCACAAACACGTACAAAGGCAAGTCAATTGTTCATCTATCCTTTACATGTGTTCGATAAAATTATGTGAAAGCTTTATTAAGGTCTTGAATGTTGTACTCCCGCTCAAACAAGTTTTGAGCAAGAGTTATATAACGCTGTTTGAAATCTTAGCAGAAACATTGTATCTACAAATTTATTGAATATAGACACACAGCTGCTAGAATATTTCTCGGCATTAAAGGGCAAGTTGACATTTGAAAAGTCGACGTCTTCTCTCTGGTCACAGTCTTGTGGACATGTTTTTGTCATAATAGTTTGTATGTAATATTCTTAATATGAAACAGATGATCCAGTTTTGCTGATCTCTTTTATTTCTAGCTCAGGTGGGTAAATCAGTGGAAGGGAATTGGCTATTTGACAATTAATAAACAGTATTAGATCATCGATATACCTGCAGCGTAATTAAACGTCTTGGCCAAATTACCTTGTTTCTATTTTGCCAATCCGAGCAGAAATTCCGATTCACATCCATAAGGAAAAAGTACGGCAAGGTGGGACGAACCTTTATTACCTGAGGGTTTGCCCTCTTCTTGCCAAAATGGCTTACCCCCAAATTTCAGATACATACTATCTATGATGAAATCCAGCATTTCACATCGTCTTTCCTCAGTAAACTACAGATGACATTTGCTATCATTTTTGACAAGACTCACATGTGGCTTCAGGCATGTCTAATATAGGCCTCGAGTTCGAGTCCAGCGTAAGTGCATTATTGAAATACTCTTTCTGCCGTTTATGCTCCGTCCATACTATTCATGTGTCTGTCTGTTAAATAGAAGACAGATATGTTATATGAATTCTATGGCTCTACTATACCTAACCAAACCTTTAAAGCTGATAAAGCAGAAATATTGAAATCTGAAAAAATTGTGATGTCACAAAACCTCATATTACTTCAATATGGTGTCAATATCGATATAGGATACATCTAAAGAGACAGTAAAGGAGACATTCAGGACACCTGCTTGTAAACATTTTGCTTTTACAACTGTTTTCATTGCCAATTAATGCCTATCAAGTTGGATTTATAGTTTCCCAGCGTTGTTTAATCGTCTACACATACGCAGCCGCTGAATAGTAAACCGATTGTCTAACATAAACAATTTGTATTGCCTAAACGTATTCAATTGATCAAACATCTGTTGGTTGACAAATGCGCCGAATAGATGTTTGGAGTGTCCACGTGGTATGAATATGTTCACATAAATTGAACAGGCCGAGACTGCCTCAACGCAGATGCTTTCCTGGAGGTAAAGCAAGAAGTTGTTCAAGGTGAGTAGGCATGTGTTGTGATTTTAAGTCTAATTGTGGTGATACGCTTTGTAAGTTATGCCCCTTGTGCTGATAAGTATCGATGGTCTGACAGCACCATACAGAGCGGCCACTGTAGTCTTTCTTACAACTTTATATACCTGTAGCTGACAGGCCCGCACAATACTGAACTTGTATTCTCTTTGGCATTCAGGGATTCGGTAACTATGTATCAGCAACCCATGCTTGCGTAAGAGGCGACAAACGGGATCGGGTGGTCAGACTCGCTGACTTGGTTGATGCATGTCATCGATCCCAAATGCGTGGATCGATGCTCACGATGTCAATCACTGGATTGTCTGGTCCAGACTCGATTATTTACAGACCGCTGTCATGTAGCTGGAATATTGCTGAGTGCGGCGTTAAACATCAAACAAGCAAACAAGTATATTTCATGAGAACAATGTTATATCCAAGTTCATTGTTTGTACAATTCTTGAGCACAATGTTTATTGTACATACACGTAGTGCATGTGAACTATCACCTGTTATCACACAAACGATCATGATATTATTTGCCAAGAAACAATGATGGTGTAATTCAATATTAATATTTGTTTCAACTGTTATCTTCAGATGATGAAAGTCGTGTGTCTCATTGCGCTGCTCCTGGTGTTCTTCGTGGCCGCATCCTCTGCTGATGGTTAGTATGTCCCTGTATCAGGGCGGCACTTGCTTCTTTATCAGTCTCCACTGAGATACCTCGGTTTGAAATATTTTGCAGAAATGTCAACTCGGTGCAGAGATGTACCTATCTTGCAGAAGATCACATTTTGTGAAGAACTCGTTAAGCATTTTGCATTTATCTTCCGAAGAGTTCGTCAAATACCGCGCAGGAAGTAAACAAGTGATTTCGAAGCTGGTTTTAAAAGTGTAAACGGATATCTATTTCGATTTGAGTGAGTGAGTGAGTGAGTGAGTGAGTATGGTTTTACGCCGCCTTTACCAATATTCCAGCAATATCACGGCGGGGGAATATTTCGATTTGAAGTGATGTTGACTTTTGTATCTATTTTGTTTTGAAGTGATGCTGACCTCTGTATTATTGCTTACCAGAAGTGCAAGTTTGTATGGTTACAGTAGTGATCTCTAGATTCACTTCAACAAACTGTTCTAGCCGTGGATATGTTTATCATAAAATGCCACAAAACAAACAAACAGGTGCAAAAATATGAAATTCGTGAAAACTAAGCTTAAACATTTGCTGAAATTTGGTGCATATATTTATGCATTATATATGGCATCACTCAGCATGAGACCTTTTGCCTTGTTATAGTTGGTTGTGCATTTGTTGTTTCATCGTTTTCTTTAGTTTGGGATCCGGTCACAGTGGGAATCTTCTGTATTCTGTCAAACCAGCTCGGTTTTACAACCCTGTATCAAGGACGAGTGATAGTGTTTTTGTTGTATCATGGCAGAATTTGCTTGGACGAATTTACACAAGTATTTTGCCTTTTACGCCCAATGGAAATAATCGAGACTGGTTGACAAAACTTGTTGGTTATATATCCCTCTGTCTATAAACGAGCAATAATTTAACTCTTGTATCATGACTGAACTTGATTGGTTTTACACCCCTGTGTCTATTACGAGCGATAATGTAACTTTAGTATCATGACTGAACCTGCTTGGTTTGACATCCCTGTGTCTATTACGAGCGATAATTTAACTCTTGTATCATGACTGAACCTTATTGGTTTTACACCCCTGTGTCTATTACGAGCGATAATTTAACTCTTGTATCATGACTGAACCTGCTTGGTTTGACATTCCTGTGTCTATTAACATCGGTAATTTAACTCTTGTAGTGAGTGAGTTGGGTTTAACGCCGCTTTTAACAGTATTCCAGTTATATCACGGCGTGTCAGCTGAATGTGGGAGGAAAGCCCGAAGTGATGCAGGTCTCAGACGTTTACCACTTCGGTGAAACCCACGAGCATGGTGCTGACAAACCTAGAAACATAATCGGTGCGAACCGGGATTCGAACCCACAATCATAGGTTTCTGGCTTGCCCAAGGGACGCAACTCTGCACAGCGAATCGCGGCGCCTTAGACGACTGGGCCACCCGTGCCCCCTAACTCTTGTAGCATGACTGAACCTGTTTGGTTTGACATCCCTGTGTCTATTAAGAGCGATAATTTAAATCTTGTATCATGACTGAACCTGCTTAGTTTTACATCCCTGTGTCTATTACGAGTGATAATGCAACTGTTCTGTTATGACATAACGTGCTTGGATATAACTTGTCTGTATCAGTGACGAGTGATTTTCTAATTTTCGATGTTATTTTCTTTTTAACGCCCAGTGGAATCTGTTCCGTCGGAAAATTGAGACTGGATATTCAGTGGCGTTGACGTTATATGCTTGGTGCTACATCCCTATGCCTATTACGGAACGCCTCCGAGGTGTAGTAGATAGAGCGCCTGCCCAGAGAGCCGAAAGTCGGTGGCTCGATCCCTGTCGTGTCATACTGTCATGCTGAAAGATAATTAGGAGGTAAACGTAATATGTTTTGAAATTTGATGTAGTCCCACTGTAAAACAGATACCTCTTTATTATAATTTTGAACCGAGCGCTTTAGCTCTATCTATTCTACAGTGGGACTACATCAAATTTCAAAACACAGTAGGTTTATCTCCATTCTACCATGACGGCAACAACGCTTTGAAAACGGCGCTCTTTTGCAACGCGTAATAACATAGGTGCACAAGTACGCAATCTTAGAACATTCCGAAAAGTGGTCACAGGTAGATGTAACAATTATTACTAAAATTCGAGATTAAAAACACCATAGTCATGAGCAGTTCATAATAAGTATTCAAAACACATAGTTTTTCAAAAGAAGTTGACAAATAACACTCCTTACTTAATCCAAAGAGAGATGTTTTAATTTCTATCAAACTGTTGCACACTGTTGACTGTCTGTCGTTTCACGCAAATTTGTGAATTTGTAGGGGTGACGTGTATTAGAAAAAGGTTTTAAAATGCTAAACGAGTATATTTCTACATCAAACTTTATGAATTAACATTATAACATACATTTAACATGTCTAAGAGTTATTAGTTAGATAGCAATTATAACATAATAACAATAATAACATCAAAGTGAATGCCTCTCCACCCCGAACTTGGATGTGGCAGAACTTAACCTAAATCACGGTTACTCACACCTCCCAGCTGTCAATGGCTGACAATCTTGTGTTTACATTTACTAGATCTAGTTAAAAGAAGCAAGATGACAACCCCGATCTATGATGTGGTTCAACATTTACCTGTAGATTTACTGGGATTGATCGAGCCTGCGGGTACATCCATATGATTACCAATGGAACCGTGTATGACTGAACAGCCGCTGTTTAGGCTGCAGACGAGCCGGATATTTTGAAACGAGGAATCTGCATGGTGTGACCTGTCAATTTCCAGATTTCACGGATACAAAGCCAAATAGTGACAGAACTTAGACATTTCTGGTCCAGAAATAGTAGGTCGTGTATGATTTTCATAATTGTACGTGTTGTGAAATGAATTTCATCAAGTTTGATAAGCTGTCACTTCAGTTGGGACATTGTTTTCGTGGACTTTTGAAGGTGAGTGTTTTCTGATGCACTTTCAAATCCCCTCCTGCCAAATTCTAACGGTGGTAGTTGACGGAGATGGCAATGGATATCGATCAGTAAAAGGTTTGTAAACACCATGTTGTCATGAATAAAATGTCTTCAAACACATTTTATTATGTTATATTTCACTTTCATTGTTGTTTCAATAATGAAATTACCTGTTCTTGGGTTTCCGAAAAAGTTACCCCAAAAATGAACAATTATTATTTTCTCAACAAAATTTCACTCTTTCACTTATTTTGAATGTGTGAATCTTTGAATTATACCTCCCCACCCTGAATTGAGAACCGTCCTAACGTGTCCCGGTTGTCACTATATCTGCACTGCACTCTCAGTAATGGCTGACAAAGAAATTGTTAACAGTAACAGTGCTGTTAAAGATTTGCAGGAAACCAGAAGACAACCCAGTACTGTGCGTGTGATGCTGTTCAACATTAACATGTTGACTAACTATCCCTGTTGGTGTGATGTTGTTTTTTCAAACAATTTTTATAATGTTATATTTTACTTTCATTGTCGGTTGTTTCAAGGAGGAAATAGCTTAAATTGTTCCGATTCTGGTCTCCATGGAACATTTATCTAACAGTTTCATAAACATTTCATTTGTATGCAAAAGATATGCCTTCGTTAAATCTTTTAAAGTCATCATCGAAGCAGTCAGGGTTGCGGCCTAGAACGCCCCAAACATCCGATATCAAACTACCGTATTTCCTCTATTTGACACAACGCCGTCTATTAAATTCGCGAGAGCCCTTGACTCGGCGTGTATTAGAGACCTGGCTGGTATTATAGACCCAGCGTGTATTAGAGGAAATATAGATATGTTTTACAGTTCATATGGCGGTGATCGATCGGCAGCCATTTTCTGTGAATCGATATGTAGGCTATCTATGTATTCATACGCACGTTTTTTTGTGAAAAGGCTTAATATATTTGAAAGGGGTTTCCGTAGCAAAAAGGAAACCTCTTTTTAACCAATCAGAATCAAGCATTCATCAATGTCATGGTAGAAAACTTGTTTTTACCCTGCCTGGCTAATTTCTGTCTTATGGAAACTGACAGTGTGTTCCCAGTCAGTATGCATGGTGAGAAAAGTAAATGCAAACTTTTTTCCCTCATCCCATTTATTTAAAAAAAAAGTACAACTGCATCGGTGGCATCAGTCACAAACACATGCAAAGGCATAAAAATATATTCCACTCATACTGCTGATCTTCAGCTCTTGTCTAACCCGAACATGACAAAATTATGTTTTCTGATACATTCGTTTCTAAAACTGTTTCAGGGGACATGTCTCAAGTCCACGCATATCGGAGAGAAGAGGCAGTCCTTGCGAGACGTAAGATGATAGGACTGATCAGTCTGTGTACTCTGTGCTCTGAACTGTAATCGGTGTTGCTGTTTGTGCTACGTATAAGTGGTATTCTGTCAAACGTATGCATAATCACATTTACATGATACATCATTCTACATGCCACAGAAAATAGTGTCACTTCAATGTTGACTTTTTATTTTGAGTTACTTACACTTACAGAAAGATTGTTTGATCCTTTGTTTGTTGTTTAACGCCGCACTCAGTAATATTCCACCTATATGACGGCGGTCTGAGTCTGAACCAGACTACCCAGTGATTGACATCATGAACATCGATCCACACAGTTGGGATAATGCATCAACCGAGTCTGCGAGCCTGACCACCCGTTAGTCGCCTCTTACGACAAGCATAGTCGCATATTACAGCAAGCAATTTTACAGAAAGAACTGAGGAAGATAATATGGCCTGTTCCGTTTAATATCCACTTTACTTCTTAGGTCTGACAGCACGTTCAAGTTCCGGCAGCAGCTCCAGCAGCAGCTCCGATACTACCCCTGCTCCTACCCCTGCTCCAACCGCAACTCCTGCTCCTGCTCCAAGTTCCAGCAGCAGCTCCAGCAGCAGCTCCGATACTACCCCTGCACCTACCCCTGCACCTACCCCTGCTCCAACAACAGGTTAAGGTAATCATTTTCCACAACCTACTCATAAGTACTGGTCCATAAGAGCATGGTGACACTACTCGCCAACACATACTTGGTGACACCACTTGTCTATAAGAGCATGGTGACACTACTTGCCTATAAGAGCATGGTGACACTACACGCCTATAAGAGCATCGTGACACTACTCGCCTATAAGAGCATGGTGACACTACACGCCTATAAGAGCATGGTGACACTACTCATCGACAAATACTTGGTGACACTACACGACTATAAGAGCATGATGACACTACTCACCTATAAGAGCATTGTTACACTACTTACTCACAAAAAGTGGTGACACTACTCGCTTATAAGTGCATGGTGACACTACTTGCCCACAAATACTTGGTGAAACTACTCGTCTATAAGAGCATGGTGACACTACTCGCACATAAATACTTGGTGACACTACTCGCCTATAATAGCATTGTGAAACTACTTGCCTATAAGAGCACAGTGACACTACTTGCCTATGGGAGCATGGTGACACTACTTGCATATGAGAGCACGGTGACGCTACTTGCCTATTGGAGCACGGTGACACTACTTGCCTATATGAGCATGGTGACACTACTTGCCTATGGGAGCACGGTGACACTATTTGTCTATGGGAGCATGGTGACACTACTTGCCTATGGGAGCATGTTGACACTACTTGCCTATGGGAGCACGGTGACACTACTTGCCTATGGGAGCACGGTGACACTACTTGCCTATGCGGGCATGGTGACACTACTTGCCTATGAGAGCTCGGTGACACTACTTGCCTATGGGAGCATGGTGACACTACTTGCCTATGGGAGCATGGTGACACTACTTGCCTATGGGAGCATGGAGACACTACTTGCCTATGGGAGCATGGTGACACTACTTGCCTATGGGAGCATGGTTACACTACTTGCCTATGGGAGCACGGTGACACTATTTGCCTATGGGAGCATGGCGACACTACTTGCCTATGGGAGCACAGTGACAGTACTTGCCTATGGGAGCATGGTGACACTACTGGCCTATAAGAGCACAGTGACACTACTTGCCTATGGGAGCACGGTGACACTACTTGCCTATAAGAGCACAGTGACACTACTTGCCTATTGGAGCACAGTGACACTACTTGCCTATGGGAGCATGGTGACACTACTTGCCTATGGGAGCACGGTGACACTACTCATCGACAAATACTTGGTGACACTACACGACTATAAGAGCAAAATGACACTTCTCGACTATAAGAGCATTGTGACCCTACTCACCTATAAGAGCATTGTGACACTACGTACTCACAAAAAGTGGTGACACTATTAGCTTATAAGTGCATGGTGACACTACTCGCCCTCAAATACTTGATGAGACTGCTTGTCTATGAGAGCATGGTGAAACTACTCGTCTATAGGAGCATGGTGACACTACTCGCCTATACATACTTGGTGACACTACTCGCCCATAAATACTTGGTGACACTACTCGCCTATAAGGGCATGGTGACACTACTCGCCCATAAATACTTGGTGACACTACTCGCCTATAATAGCATTGTGAAACTACTTGCCTATAAGAGCACAGTGACACTACTTGCCTATGGGAGCATGGTGACACTACTTGCCTATAAGAGCACAGTGACACCTCTTGCCTATGGGAGCGCGGTGACACTACTTGCCTATGGGAGCATGGTGACACTACTTGCCTATGGGAGCATGGTGACACTACTCGCCCATACATATTTGGTGACACTATTCGCCCACAAATACTTGGTGACACTACTCGCCCACCAGTTCATTGCAACACCACTCCCTCACAAGTACACGGCGACACTGCTGCTTCAACAAATATTTGATGTAGCTACTCGCCCATAAGTGCAAGCTGTCACGACTCGCTCAGAAGTACACTACTCCCCCACAATTATACGGGGCCAGCTACACGGCTGTTGGGACGTGTAACATGACACACAGTACTGACCCGTGTTACCCGGCTGCTGGGTAGTGTAAACAAGACAGACAGTACTGACCCGTGTTACACGACTGCTGGGTAGTGCAAACAAGACACACAGTACTGGTCCATGTTACACGACTGCTGGGTAGTGCAAACAAGACCCACACTTCTGACCCGTGTTACCCGGCTGCTGGGTAGTGTAAACAAGACAGACAGTACTGACCCGTGTTACGCGCCTGTTGGATAGTGCAAACAAGACAGACATTATTGACCTGTGTTACACGGCTGTTGGGAAGTGCAAACATGACACACAGTATTGACCCCTTTTATACAGCTGCTGGGTAGTGCAAATATGGCATGCATTACGGATCCATGTTATACACCCGATGAGTAGTGCAAATGTGACATACATTACTGACCTGTTTTATACAGCTGCTGGGTTGTGCAAACGTGACACATAGCCATCGAGACAAGACTTTAAAAACAGAAACTAAAAACAGATCGACCTATGCCATTTGGGTGAATCGCACACACTGGGCCAAATCCTGAACAGCCAAACATGAGATACCAGGACATTTCTTAAACCATGTGTGAATCTTTTGTTTTAACTGATGTTGATTAACTTGAATATTTAGCAACATATACATAGCGACTACAGTTAGCAATACATCTATCACCAGTGAAATGTGTATACGTACTTCAAGCAGTATTTACTGGATACTGCTCTGTGTTTCTGTTCCAAGCTTGGCAAGTTATTTTCTGGTTTACCTTCACCGCCAGGGCAATGTATTTCTAACAGTGATGTATGCCTGTGTCATACATTGAATGTTCATCGTGAGGAACAAACTAATTATTCCGAAGTCAGTCAGACTCTTGGCAGCAGCACTGTAGAGCTGAGGCCTGCTAAATACTGCATCATGTATACCCCTCTCAGTGCCTTTACTCTCAAGACAATTACTTCAACATACATATACCATTGAAGGGTACTGACTTGGCATCAGGTGCCAGATGATTAAATATGCATCTCTAACACTTATTCATTCGTAATCAGCGGCAGCAGTCACGAGGGAGAACAGAAAGTTGAAGGTTAGTCAAGACCACAAGTGTGCAACATTTGAAAAAAACCAACAGTTTAATATCAGCAGGGTCATTCGACCAGTCGACCACTTGATCCTTATATCCCACATTCATGCAGGATGTGGTGTCGGGTGCTGGCTTCTCTCCTCTGCCCTGCCTTTATCATTGCCGGACTTGCAGCATCAACTGACGTCCACCAGTGGACATTTAGGACAACTGACAAACCATTTCCTTTCAATGTTACTACTCTTGGTCACAATCGGGTGGTTTCTCTCCCCCAGTGCGGTGTTGAGTGCAGTAAACTCCTCAAATGTGTCGTTTTTGAGTACAAACGTAACCGATGCTTCTGTACCATGTACCGAGTCTTCAAAGATGAGGACGACTCTGCCGCTATTGTCCAGGGCCCCCTTGAACAAAGCGTTCTTAGCGCTAAGACTATCGTAAGCCTATGTTAACGTATGGAAGTTACGATCATCTTAGCGCTAAGATCGATTTGTGCAAGTGGGCCCAGTAGTTCTCTGACACAACATACGGAAATGTGCATGGTAAGTTATAATTTCTGTGTTGGTGTGGATGTGATATTGTTTTGAGATGTTCTGAGGATGGTTCTCCTTGGTGTCGGGGTATTGACGTGATATTGTTCTGGGTTGTACCGAGGATGTTTCCTCGGGTGTCGGGGTGTTATTGATGTAGGGCGCTGTGGTGATATTGTGGCTTGTACCGAGGATGGGCTTTCGTAGTGTCGGGGGTTATTGATATAGGGTGTTGAGGTGATATTCGTGTGGGGTGTTCCGGGGATGTTCCTCTGTAGTATCGGGGTGTTGTTGCCGTAGAGTGTTCCAGTGATGTTCCTCTGTGGTGTTGGAGTGATATTGCAGTAGGGTGTTCCGGTGATGTTCCTCTGTGGTATCTGGGTGTTACTGATGTAGGGTGTTCCGGGGATGTTCCTCTGTGGTGTTGGAGTGTTATTGCAGTAGGGTGTTCCGGTGATGTTCCTCTGTGGTATCGGGGTGTTATTGATGTATGGTGTTCCGGGGAAGTTCCTCTGTAGTATCGTGGTGTTATTGCAGAAGGGTGTTCCGGGGATGTTCCTCTGTGGTATCGGGGTGTTATTGATGTAGGGTGTTCCGGGGATGTTCCTCTGTGGTATCGGGGTGTTATTGGTGTGAGGTGTTCCGATGATGTTCCTCTGTGGTGTCGAGTGTTATTGCAGTAGGGTGTTCCGGTGATGTTCCTCTGTGGTATCGGTCTGTTATTGATGTAACTTATACCATGATATCATCCTCACATGGACTGCTACAACCAATATGGAGAGCAACAACGAGTAAAAAGTGGGTGAGGTAGTGGCGTGTGTTTGATGGGGGAGAAAGCCGCATGATGCAGGTGTTAGCCGCTTACCACTTTTGTGAAACCTGGCACTAATAGTGCTGACAAACCTAGAAACATAATCAGGGTGTGATCAGAGCAAATGACTACGCCCAGCAGATAGGTTACCAACATCTACTGATTTCCAAAATATTACTTTTAACAATTCCATGCTAATGTCAAGACAACCATTGTATGAAAGGAATGAAAATATCATCATATCTTTATGCTGATTATGAGTTATAGCCACATCGTCTTTCTCTTACTGGTTGATATTCATAAAATGTTTGTAAAATGTCACTTCACATTATTTGATGGTAATCCACCAATATTCTACTGGTGTCATGTCGCTGTATGCCCACCATGTTAATTAAGTTTCATCTCATTCGCCAAACTGATTGTTGTGCTGGGTACATCTGAATATACTCTGAATTTTGGCTTGCGGTCAACAGTCGCATTAGTTTGGAGACGCATTAATTTATAGATTTAGAGCAGTTGTGCACGAGGACATGTAACCCTTTGTGGAAACCAACGATTTTAATGTTATTTTACGACGTTAAATGCCTGTTTTGTGTGCCTTCATTGGGTCATGTGCATTAATTGAACTTGTAGTAGTATAGACGATGGAGTACGACGTCAATCCGCGTAAGAGGCGACTAACGGGATCGGGTGGTCAGGCTCGGTGACTTGGTTGATGCATGTCATCGATCCCAATTGTGGAGATCGATGCTCATTATGTCAATCACTGGGTTGTCTGGTCCAGACTCGATTATTTACAGGCCGCCATCATATAGCTGGAACATTGTTGAGTGTGGCGTTAAAGAACAAACAAACAAACAAACAAACAAAACATAAATTTATATCATGATGCAGCAAGATGCTAGCCTTTACAAAACTTCTGCGTACTACATAATATCATTTGAAAATCTTTATTCTTCAAGTAACCTTCAAACAAAATTGAAATGAAAGTTTTCTCTATTATTTTTACTCATATACTTACTATTACTTCGGACATTTCAAAGAAACCAGGTATCTCTTCTTTCTACCGAATCATATGGTAAGATGCAAAACATATTAATATGCTTGAACTGTAGTAGATATAGCTAGTCGATACAAAGAGGCTGAACCTTTAAATTCAAAAGATTCAACTGAAGAAGCTAATATATTATGCACCTGAAAGTGAGTTATTTCAAGTAGATCCTGGACGAAAGTTTATGGCATCAGGTACTAAAGTATTAATAAGACATGATGTTAAAAATAGGTTCGGTGAAAAACAGACCCATCGTAGCCAAACTATTGCTGAACGATTTAACCGAACATTAGCGGAACGCTTGTTTGGATATAAATATGCCCAAGAGATGATGATTAATAATGACTGACAAAAAGATGAACGGAATTTGTGAGTATCAGCAGTAAATAATGAAGTAACAAGATTATTAGGTAAGAAACTAGCTGATGCTACCAAGAAGAAATCTGTGTCTTCTGATTAGGCAGCGTCATGGAGAGAAAAAGAATAAAAACCTTCCGATAGTGAGTGTAAGATATTTCTACCAGCCTGGTGATCTCAAAGGAGGTCACCGCCGTACCACTGATCCAGTTTGGTCCCTAAAGATAAAATCTATGTCAATGCACAGTTCCGCATTATAAAGTTTTGGTAACAATTAACCCGAATGCATGAAGGGCGTATCCCAAAAAAAGTATATAAGATGTTGATGTATTTCGACAACATTGGTCGTAATACTTGGGTAGCATCTGTTCGTAACATTTTATGTTCTCATGGTTTGGGATTTGTATGGTTAAACGAGACTGTTGGGGACAATATAGCTTTCATTGGGTTATGTAATCGTGTCTTGTAGATGAATTTCGTCAAAACTGGATGTCAACACTCAACAGTAGTACCCGTTATGTGATGTATAAAGAATATAAAACACTGTTTGAACCTGAACAATATTTGAGTATTCACAATAGCAAACATGTACGCAGTGTTTTTATCAAATTAAAATGTAATGCTTTACCTTTACGAAAGAACGAGGGTAGATGGCAATCTATTGAATCATGTTGACGTGTGTGTCCTGTTTGCAATATGTCTGTTGAAGATGAATACCAGTTGGTATTGATCTGTAAACATTACACTGAACTGCGTAAAGTTTATTTGCCAGAATTGTATTGGAAGTTTCCAACTATATATACATTCAAAAGTTTATTGTGTACAACTCAGGATGAGTTATTAAAACGTCTGCAAAAAAAGACATGATGTCGTAAAATCCATGTAATTGTATTATTGCTATTGCATGTCTTGTATATATGGGCCAAAGGCCTACACACAAATAAACTAATTTTGACTTTGAAAGATATGAAACATTAGTCAATTGGATATGAAAAAAGGTGAGCCTTTTCTGTACTGTCAGATGGTTTGTAAGAGAAGAGTTGCTTATAGTCCCAGCGATACAGTATTACCTCCCTAAGTAACCATATTCATAGGTAGCTATACCATCCTTTTGAATCAATCTCATTGTATCTTTGGGGGATAATGACGTCATATTCATTCTGAATCCATGTATCCTGTGCTTATAACTTCTGAAAGGATTCCTCTCATGTTTGAATGTTCTACTGTTGAATAATGTCTCTTACTACTTTCATGCGTTATATGTTTTTTTACCACATTCGTCTCCACACCTTTAGCTTTTTCTTATCTCTTCGTCAGAATAAATTGAGGATTGTTTATGTGTCGAGTGAAATATCATTTTTCTCTCATCAAGTGATGTTTTCAAGAGTGGCGTGCGCACGAGTTTGAAACGTAAATTCTCCCTACCTGTCACACAGTGGCAGTTCACCAGTCCTTGTATTTGCGACTTAAACCATATTTTCGTGTTTGCAAAATCTTAAAACAAATATACCAAAGTATAAACAAATATTGAGGGTCACGAAAATTCCTTATCATACATTACGATATGATTATATACAAGCTTTAACAAAATATATTCTTGTAAACTAGGAGACCGCTGTTAGAAGTCAAGTAACGAAAATGGCGCTCTGCGTCTCGATTGACCAGTTAAATGAGAAATTTATAGTTTGTTACAAAACATTTTCAAGAGAATAACAAATTGCAAGAAGTGATATTAATTCCATAAATGATCACCTTTCATCATTTTGCCTTGTCGATGTGGAACTACCTTAAGGACGTCAACAGTTTGTGTACCGTCTAGACACATTTGATAAAGAGGGACAATCTAAGGGGAGGTAACTCTTGTATAACAATAGTTCCGGCAAAGTGTTACGTTCACTGCAATGAAAATATCACTTTTCTCAACTTCAGAAAACTCCGTCTCTTACACTTACGGATACTAAAAATCTTCGATCTTAATCCATCTTACTCAGCAGTAGGAGTACAGGAGTACAGGAGTACTTCATTCTTCGTTCCTAACACCGTTTTATTTATTGTGCTGTGCGGTGGCTTATCTTTTGGTAAACCGCTTGTGTCATACATGTACATATATTTTTTCTGCCACGGCTTTATACAAATCATTAGTCTGTATTTCCATTTATTCTGTATCAGAATATAACACCTCATATCGATCACCATATTGCTTCTTAAGTTCCTTGTAAAAAAAGTCATACATTAACTGTTTTGACAAATCAAGAACACCCATACTAACTTCCCCATATGTAACGTCACTACGTCATTATCAAATATCTTGCATCTGTTAAAAGTTGTTAGTTTCCTTAGTCTTTCTCCCTCAAGACATCTGACCAATTTAACCTCAACTCGCTTTCTTAGATTCTCAAGAAGTAAGGATAACCAATATGGATGAACAATCTTCTTTACTACAATTAGGGGGACGGTCGGGTAGCCTTGTGGTTAAAGTTCGATCGTCACGCTGAAGACGTTAGTTAGTTTCCTAACTCTTTCTTCCTCAAGAGATCTGACCAATTTAACCTCAACTCGCTTTCTTAGATTCTCAAGAAGTAAGGATAACCGATATGGATGAACAATCTTCTTTACTACAATTAGGGGGACGGTCGGGTAGCCTTGTGGTTAAAGTTCGATCGTCACGCTGAAGACGTTAGTTAGTTTCCTAACTCTTTCTTCCTCAAGAGATCTGACCAATTTAACATCAACACGCTTTCTTAGATTCTCCAGAAGTAAGGATAACCAATATGGATGAACAATCTTCTTTACTACAATTAGGGGGACAGTCGGGTAGCCTTGTGGTTAACGTTCGATCGTCACGCTGAAGACGTTGGTTAGTTTCCTTAGTCTTTCTTCCTCAAGAGATCTGACAAATTTAACCTCAACTCGCTTTCTTAGATTCTCCAGAAGTAAGGATAACCAATATGGATGAACAATCTTCAGGTAGCCTTGTGGTTAACGCGTTCGATCGTCACGCTGAGTGTTGGGTTCGATTTCCGACATGGGTACACTGTGTGAAGCCAATTTCCGGTGTCGTGGTCTCACTCACAACTACAATTAGGGGCGACGTTTCGGTATTGGTCCTAACACCGTTATCAAGCAAGCAGCATGTTTGATAACAATGTTAGAACCTGATCCTAATTATTATAAAGAAGTTGTTTACCCATATATCATAACTTTATTAATGACTCCAACTTCTAAATGCCTCCCAAAGATGTCAGATTCTCCAAAGTTTTACCAAAAACTGAGTTATTCATGACCTCATATAGGTTCTTTTCGAAATGACTAATAGCCTTCTTTCTTAAATCTGTGTTCAGCCTGTATGTATTTTCTTTAGTTTCATACCTGATGATAGATATAGTGGAGATTTCTATATTTTGCCTTGTCCATTATATTTGGAACGAGGTTATCTACATGAGCTAACTTAGTCTTTCCCATCAAGTTATGTTGATATTCAGAAATACAATTTCTATTGATCATAATTTTTTCAGGAGCTGGCAGATAACTATTTCGGTGTTAATGTAAATTTGTGGGATATTCTAAGTCCATACAAATCTGTGGGTAAGGGTTGACTCATAGTCCATCCATACAAATTGTTGGCTTCGAGATATACTATGTGTGTCGTAGACTTACTCGATTCAAACCCTTCTACTTATTGGGGCGGTCGGGTAGTCTAATGGTTAAAGCGTCCGCTCGTGACGACGAAGACCCGGGTTCGATTCCCGACATGGGTACATTGTGGGAAGCCAATTTCTGGTGTCCCCCGCCGGGATATTGCTGGAATATTGCTAAAATCGGCTCTAACGACAAGCATAGTCGCCTTTTACGGCAAGCATGGGTTGCTGAAGACCTATTCTACCCCGGATCTCCACGGGTCCAGCACAACTGGGACAAGGTCTCAACAGTGAAAGAGCTAACTAAAAAGGAAAATGTTAAAGTTCTGGTGAAAAACAAAATGTCTGGATACATTAATCCATGAAGGATTGTTTAAATATATATTTGGAACATAAAACATAAGGGATCATATTACACACCGACATACATGTTATTAAGGTGTTTTTGTTGTTGTTGTTGTTGTTGCTGTTTAACGCAGCACTCAGCAATATACCAGCTGTATGACCACAATCTGTAAACAATCGGGTCTGGAACAGTAAATCCAGTTATTGACATCATGAGCATCGATCCACTTAATTGGGATACGATGACATGCATCACCCATGTCAGTGAATCTGGCCACCCAATGCCGTTAGTTGCCTCTTGTAATAATCATGGACCAATAGTAACCCGGATCTTCAGGGACGGCAAACATAGTCTGACCGTCGTCATATAGCTGGAATATTACTGAGTGCGGCCTTAAACAACAAACCAACAAACCAACCCAGTTGTGCTGACATGAGTTATAACAACGTCTGTAGTGACACAGGACATGCGCGCCATAATGTGAAGACAAGTCCCTCTTGTCACTTCTCAGATCGTATTTGACAAATAAAAGATCCCTTGTTCCAACAATATACGTCATTCCATCCCACTACTTGTCTTCGGTAGCTATATTGTATGATAACACAATTTTCTTTTTGACCTTTATATGAATGGGACGGACGCCTGTCCAGCCAATTCAGGTAAGTGGTTGGAGTACCATCTGTCCAGAAGTACGTGTCGTTGTCGTACAAATCGCTCAGTCCAATCCACGGCCCCACTGAAGAAAGGAAAACACGTTACAAATGTGGACAATTACACGAACCAATAGCATTATGAGATACAAGTAGATTGACTTTAATACACAAAGACTTCCTACGCAAGAGGTTGCGTATCCCAGATATCAAACAGAAAAGACATAACAATAAAACGTCAAAGCCAGACAATAACCAGTCTCGATTATATGTCGATACAGGTTCCACTGCGCGTCGAAGGCAAAATAGTGGTGAACATTATTTGAATTGATCACTGAAAATCAGTGATGACACCAGTCGTTCGTGAAGAGAGTAAGCATGTCCTGCCCTACCGGTATATCTTTCAACGTGTTTTTGAACTGAATATGTAGATGTCGGTTGTTGATCGCGATCCCTGACCGCGTCATCCCCAAAGGCGTAAAATATGGTTCTTGTCGTTACCCTGACATGTGTCCGGAATTTAAGGATTGAAACATTGTGTCTGAGTGTGGTATCCATGTTAAACTGATGCATGGTTTCTAAGTTGACTAACGTGTTTTGTTAGTTTTAGTTAATAATTTGGTTAACGAAGACAGGCGTGACCAAGCTGTCATTAACTTTGGGGTAAAATGGGATTGACGTCACATCTGTGTGTGTGTGTGTGTGTGTGTGTGTGTGTGTGTGTGTGTGTGTGTGTGTGTGTGTGTGTGTGTGTGTGTGTGTGTGTGTGTGTGTGTGTCTGCTTGTAACAGTCCGAACAAATGCCGACTTGATAGTGAATTTTTGCAACATTAATACCCTACTCAGACACAGTATACTGACTCCGAGCCAACAAATCCTTGTCCCTTAGTGCAGTGCGCGAGGCAGGGTAACAACAAGTACTTTCTTTAAACGTCTTTTAGTATCGAACCAGGCAGAAGCTCTACCACTAGACAACGGAGACAAACTGTCAGTTTGAGAGATATAACATATGCGTACGTGTCTTTACAGCAGCAAACCCCGAAAGAGACACAATACTTCGCTCTATCTGCCGAGTGTCCAACTTCGCAAGGCTTCCACCATCCTCCTGACATGAGGTCTGAGCGTCATCCCATGTCTTTTTTTCCATATACAGCTTCACACGAATGAATTCAGCGCCCACCTTCAGTGCCATGTATCCCTTGGGATTCTCTGTTAAATATAATTTTGTCTTCCTTGGTAAAAGAACGTACAATGTAGTAAATATTGCTTTCTTTTCAACTATAACAGTGCGTCATATAACCTGTGGTGCCTTGGCCAGGCGAACCAAAGAATAACAGCATGCAAAACAATCAAACCATCTGGGTATGACACACAACTGTCAAGGTTACAATGTAACCGCTTCAGGCAGTCGGTTAAAGTCACAGATGTGAGGTACTACCATGTGTGGATGGAAAGCATAAACGAAGAATTAATTCTTCTTACTGCTGGACGACCATAGGCTTTTTTTATTTTGGTTCGTAATTTCATATAATAACAAAACACTATGTACCTAAAATGCCAGGAGAAGACACTACAAATATTCAGTTCCCTTCGACGCTCAAAACTACCCATTCTAACCACACCACTCTTTGACATATGCAGAGATAATGTGGCCACCGTCATTGGATAACCCCTACATATCTAACTTGTGTGATGAAACATACTTGTCCTCGCTTGTTCCTTTGTCTGTTTAGCTGTCCCCGTGATGACGTTGCAGGAACTATGAAGCTGGAGACGTTGAGCTTGGATAATCTGGGCTAGCCTCGCACTCTGTGTAAGTGATGAAATGGCGGTGACAACAAAGATAGACGAAAAAAGCAGACACAGAAGACCTTGCAGATTGATGTTACAGGATCTGTTTCGTCGCCCCATGCTGATGATATGGAATAACTGTGAATCTGTTGATGTAAAATCATAACTATGCATCTGATGATGTAAAATCACAACTGTGCATCTGATGATGTAAAATCACAACTGTGCGTCTGTTGATGTATAATCACAACTATGCATCTGTTGATGTATAATCACAACTATGCATCTGATGATGTATAATCATAACTGTGCATCTGTTGATGTAAAATCACAACTGTGCATCTGATGATGTAAAATCACAACTATGCATCTGTTGATGTAAAATCACTACTATGCATCTTATGATGTATAATCACAACTGTGCATCTGTTGATGTAAAATCACACCTATGCATATGATGATGTAAAATCACAAGTATGAATCTGTTGATTTAAAATCACAACTATGCATCTGATGATGTAAAATCACAACTGTGCATCTGATGATGTAAAATCACAACTGTGCGTCTGTTGATGTATAATCACAACTATGCATCTGTTGATGTATAATCACAACTATGCATCTGATGATGTATAATCACAACTATGCATCTGATGATGTATAATCATAACTGTGCATCTGTTGATGTAAAATCGCAATTGTGCATCTGATGATGTATAATCATAACTGTGCATCTGTTGATGTAAAATCACAACTATGCATCTGATGATGTATAATCATAACTGTGCATCTGTTGATGTAAAATCACAACTGTGCATCTGATGATGTAAAATCACAACTATGCATCTATTGATGTAAAATCACTACTATGCATCTTATGATGTATAATCACAACTGTGCATCTGTTGATGTAAAATCACACCTATGCATATGATGATGTAAAATCACAAGTATGAATCTGTTGATTTAAAATCACAACTATGCATCTGATGATGTAAAATCTCAACTGTGCATCTGATGATGTAAAATCACAACTATGCATCTGTTAATGTATAATCACAACTGTGCATCTGATGATGTATAATCACAACTGTGCATCTATTGATATAAAATCACAACTGTGCATCTGATGATGTATAATCACAACTATGCATCTGTTGATTTAAAATCACAACTATGCATATGATGATGTAAAATCACAAGTATGAATCTGTTGATGTAAAATCACAACTATGCATCTGATAATGTATAATCATAACTATGCATATGATGATGTATAATCACAACTATGCATCTGATGATGTAAAATCTCAACTGTGCATCTGATGATGTATAATCACAACTGTGCATCTGATGATGCATGATCTCTATTGTACATATGGTAACAGAAGAACACTTCGGGAGATCTGATGATGCATGATCTCTACTATCATATTATAATCGAAGAACACTTCGGGAGATCTGATAATGCATGATCTCTACTGGCATGTGGTAATGGAATAACACTTCGGGAGATCTGATGATGCATGATCTCTACTGTCATATGGTAATGGAAGAACACTTCGGGAGATCTGATGATGCATGATCTCTACTGTAATATAGTAATGGAATAACACTTCGGGAGATCTGATGATGCAAGATCTTTACTGTCATATGGTCATGGAAGAACTCTTCGGGAGATCTGATGATGCATGCTCTCTACTGTAATATAGTAATGGAATAACACTTCGGGAGATCTGATGATGCATGATCTTTACTGTCATATGGTCATGGAAGAACACTTCGGGAGATCTGATGATGCATGATCTCTACTGTCATATGGTCATGGAAGAACACTTCGGGAGATCTGATGAAGCATGCTCTCTACTGAAATATAGTAATGGAAGAACACTTCGGGAGATCTGATGATGCATGATCTTTACTGAAATATAGTAATGGGAGAACACTTCGGGAGATCTGATGATGCATGGTCTCTACTGTCATATGGTAATGGAAGAACACTTCGGGAGATCTGATGATGCATGATCTCTACTGTAATATAGTAATGGAATAACACTTCGGGAGATCTGATGATGCATGATCTTTACTGCCATATGGTAATGGAAGAACTCTTCGGGAGATCTGATGATGCATGATCTCTATTGTCGTATGGTAATGGAAGAACACTTCGGGAGATCTGATGATGCATGATCTCCACTGTCATATGGTAATGGAAGAACTCTTCGGGAGATCTGATGATGCATGATCTCTACTGTCATATGGTAATGGAAGAACACGTCGGGAGATCTGATGATGCATGATCTCTACTGTAATATAGTAATGGAATAACACTTCGGGAGATCTGATGATGCATGATCTTTACTGCCATATGGTAATGGAAGAACTCTTCGGGAGATCTGATGATGCATGATCTCTATTGTCGTATGGTAATGGAAGAACACTTCGGGAGATCTGATGATGCATGATCTCCACTGTCATATGGTAATGGAAGAACTCTTCGGGAGATCTGATGATGCATGATCTCTACTGTCATATGGTAATGGAAGAACACGTCGGGAGATCTGATGAAGCATGCTCTCTACTGTCATATGGTAATGGAAAGTCTTTAAAGTATATGTGGTAATGGAAAATATCTACTGAGCATTTGGCAATGGGAGGTCTCAGCTGTCCATATGGTAAAGGAAGATCCCTACTGTAAGATAGTCATGGAAGTTTTCTACTGTACATAAGGCAGTGGGAGATCTCTACAGCACAGATGGTAATGGAAAATATCTACTGAACATTTGGCAATGGGAGATCTCAACTGTCCATATGGTAAAGGAAGATCGCTACTGTAATGATAGACAATGAAGATTTCTACTTTACGTAAGTCAGTGAAAGATTTCTACTCTACATAAGGCAGTGGAAGATCTCTACTGTACGTCAGGCAGTGGAAGATCGCTTCTGTACAGATGGTAATGGAAGATGTCTTCCGTACGTTAGGCAGTGGAAGATCGCTTCTGTACAGATGGTAATGGAAGATGTCTTCTGTACGTTAGGCAGTGGAAGATCGCTTCTGTACAGATGGTAATGGAAGATGTCTTCTGTACATTAGGCAGTGGAAGATCGCTTCTGTACAGATGGTAATCGAAGATGTCTTCTGTACGTTAGGCAGTGGAAGATCGCTTCTGTACAGATGGTAATGAAAGTTGTCTTCTGTACGTTAGGCAGTGGAAGATCGCTTCTGTACAGATGGTAATGGAAGTTGTCTTCTGTACGTTAGGCAGTGGAAGATCGCTTCTGTACAGATGGTAATGGAAGATGTCTTCTGTACGTTAGGCAGTGGAAGATCGCTTCTGTACAGATGGTAAAGGAAGATATATTCTGTACGTTAGGCAGTTGAAGATCTCTACTGTACAAATAGTAATTGAATATCTCTACTGTGCAGATGGCAGTGGAAGATTTCTACTGTACAGGTCGTAATGGAATATTTCTACTGTACAGATGGCAGTGGAAGATCTCTACTGTACAGATGGCAGTGGAAGATCTCTACTGTACAGGTCGTAATGGAATGTTTCTACTGTACAGATGGCAGTGGAAGATTTCTACTGTACAGGTCGTAATGGAATATTTCTACTGTACAGATGGCAGTGGAAGATCTCTACTGTACAGATGGCAGTGGAAGATCTCTACTGTACAGATGGTAATGGAATATTTCTACTGTACAGATGGCAGTGGAAGATCTCTACTGTACAGATGGCAGTGGAAGATCTCTACTGTACAGATGGTCAGGGAAGATTTCTACTTACGTAAGGCATCAGGAGATGTCTACTGTACGTTAGGCAGTGGAAGACATCAACACTACATGTGGTAATGGAATATCTCCACTTTACATATGATAATGTATGTTATTACCAATATTGGCTCAAATATACAGTGTAATAACTTTATGATATTTGCACAGGGTGCAATTAGTGATTCTCGAAGCTGATTGGTCAGTTGAACGAAGATGAATTTTCATTGGACAACGGAACTATTTTTTTTCTCATTCCATTCATTCACAAATCCATGCCTTTCCCTTCAGATGTTTTACTTGCTACAATCTCACTGATTCGAGGGTTTTAAGACAAGAAACACACTTTCATATTAACAACATGATATCACATTATTATTTTTTCATTTATGTCACATGATTATGTAAAAAACAAAACTACGTCCGCGTTTGTAAACAAACATGGCTGGTCATTTATTTGACACCTGTCAAAGTAAATGACCTCGTTAAAGCGGACGGAGATCAGACTGACATAAAGAGTTATTCGTATAATTAAACCTCTGAACACATTTGATGTCTTTGTTGTAAAAACTGCATATGGCCAGATTGAACATTCAGATTGTGATGTTTCTGGTGCGCCAAGATCAACACCACCAAGTCCGGGTTTGCGTCTGTGTTGGAGGACTTGCTGTTTGACGAATCTTTCGACCACCCGAAACCAAAAACTGGACGTTGTACAGACAGGTTTGCGTTTGTAAACGATGATGACGTCGTTAACTGCCAATGAAAATGAAAACACAATGAAAAAGATTAAACTTGACAAGTTGACATGAACTTAGTGCACAAATTTATACTGGTAAGAAAAACACGAAAAATAAGACTACTCACACTTTAAACGATGGCATGAGAATAAAAACAAATTCATTTTGCAACAACATTTAGACTTTCCGAAAGACATCATAAAGATACGCCATTTCTTAGAATTATGTAACGTTGTGTGAAGAAATAAGAACGTGACACTTTTTTTATACGTTTTTGTAACTGCGACGTCAGCACAGTACGGCGCTGAGCGGTATGCAGGCGGACTGACGTCCAGGCACCATATGACTATGAGGGCTGATGACACAGGAAAGGTGCAACTAAACATTATCCTTTGCACATTTATCATTTCGGCATGCACATCAGGCGATTCAGAATTCGAAATGTCTACTTTGAAGGAGATCAAGGATAGCATAGAGTGTTACCTTAGTGACAAGATTACCAACATATGGTTGCGAAATCGATGTACTTTGCTGAACTCGGAGAGGTTTTGAAATCAAAACAAAAATAATTAAAAATACAAGGAAAAGAAAACTTACCCCAGCGAGCTGATCCTGTGTCCGATATTGAACTAAATGAATGCGGACAGCTTGGCAGCAAGTCTCAAGACACCGTGTTAGTCTATTAACAGGTATTCGACTATCATGAATCACATCAAAATATCAACAAACTCCCGCCATCTGATTCCACTCCACAAGCGTGTTTGACAGGTCCTCCTAAAATCCCACATGCACATGTTTCCCATCTGTCACACTTGTCTCAAATC